TGTCTGGACATTGGAAGTAATGAGGCTGTCCTCCCCACTGACATACACTTTTTATTTCGTGTGTAACATGGCTGTCTTTTCAAGGCCCTCTTTTATTGGAATGCCAACACCAGCCAAGGTTTCAATGAAGCTAGTTTAGGGAATTGTGTTCAGCTGCTCTTTAAAGGTTTCGGTGATATTTTACATGTTTTGAGCCAGGTAACGTGCACTGTTCTTCAGAGACCTTGTAGACTAGGGGCTTTGGCTCCTTCATGAGGGAGAGATAGTTTTCATAACCTCGTAAACAATAAATTTATTTAGAAGGTACTTTATGGCAAGGTGTGTAGCCTGGTCCTTCTTCTCTGGAGACATCCTGGGAGGTGATAAAGAAGAGGCAATTGTGGTAGCAGCCAGATGGATGGTAGACTATATGAATATTTAAGATATCCTTCAAGATATATATTGATTTGGCTTTAGGGTCTATTTAGATTTGAAATCAAGTCTTCCTTCAATGTTTTACTACCTAATATTTGTCTCCAAAAGGAGTCCTCCAAGAATAACTCGTACCTTCCTGGCACATGTAACATCAATGCTTGCTTGGCTATGGCTCCATCAAAGGGCCAAAGAGCTGAGCTATGGGTTTGACAGCCAGAAAGGACCTTGGTGCCATCCCACACTCCCATTTGACAGATGAGAAAACAGTGTTTAAATGACAGAGTTAGTTGGTGGTAGAGCTGGCCTTAGAATCCATATGTCACTGCTCTTCATAGCCCATTCTGATCCCCGTCACTTCACCTCCCACCTCGACCTTGTCTCTTGGCATATGCTTTCCTTCCAAACAAAGCAGGCTCTCATGGTTATGTCTCTGCTGGCTGAGATGGCAGTAGACTTACAGCACATCGGCCAGCAGCTGCAGCTGCAGGATGAAATTGTTCTGTTGCTACTGTCCACAGGGTGCACTGCTCCCAGATTTGGTCTAAGTAGACTGTCCAAAGATTCAAATGTGCACCAGCATTGTATGAGTGCTCACGTCCCCGGGTGCCAGTTTGGGGCTGCTATTTTCTGTAGCCTGCTGAGTGTTCTGATGCTTTGGGATTTCGTCTTTCTGTTTTATGGAAATCATTTTACCTCAGAAAGATGTACAATTTCAGACTTAACTATTCCCTGTTGTCTGACAAGATTTTCCAATTATGTCTCCTCATTCTTAGATGGAAGGGTTAAAAAATAATGTAAAAGAGCAAGATAAAAGAATTGAAAATCTGAAGGAAAAAATTAACATACTTGAAGCCCAGGTAAGGAGGAAATCTGTTGTACATATCAGTGTGAATGGGAGTGCATGTGTGTGTGCGTGTGTGTGAATGTGTCTGTGTGAATGTGTGTGGGTGAATGAGTCTGTGAACATGCGTATGAATGTTGTGAGTGTGTGAATATGTGTCACTATGTCTGTCTCAGTGTGTGTGTGAATGTGTTGTTGCTATTAGGTGTTAAGTCAGTTCTGAGTCATAACAACCCTCTGTACAACAGAAAAATGCACTGCCCAGTCCTGTGCCGTCCTGACAATCCTTGGTATGTTTGAGCCCATTGTTGCAGCCACTGTGTCAATCATTTCATTGAAGGTCCTCTTTTTTGCTGATACTCTACTTTTTGTTTGTTTTATTTTAACTTTTTATTGTGATTTGGGTGAAAGTTTACAGGGCCAATGGGTTTTCCATTCAAGAATTCATACACATTTTCTTTCATGATATTGCCATTCCCACAATGTAACAGCACTCTCCCTACTTCCTCTCTGTTTCCTGTTTCCATTTGTCTTTCTTTCCTATCCCTTCCTGCCTTCTGAGCTGTATTCTTGGGTAAATGTGCCCTTTTGATTTCGTATGGTTAGTTGTTCTAAGAGTGCATACCTCCCTGGTGTTATTGTTCACTTTATAGGCAGGCCTATCTACCATGTGGCTGAAAGTTGAGCCGTGGGGGTGAGTTCAGTACCAGGCTTGAGGGGTAACTAAGGGTCTTAATCTCAGGGGATCTACCAGTCTCTACCAAGCTAGTAAGCACAGTCTTTTTCATGCTTTTGAGTTTTGTTCCACATTTTTTTCCTACTCTATCCAGAACTTCCTATTGTGGTCTCTTTCAGAGCAGTCAGCAGTGGTAGACAGGCACTGTCTAGTTCTTCTGGTCTCCAGGTTGTGGAGGCTTTGGACTCATTATTTCCTGCATTCTTTGACTCCCTTCATTCTTCTTTGCCACAGCAACCTTTAGTTGCTCCTTACATGGCCACTCACAAGCTTTTAAGACCCCAGTTGCTACTCACCAAAGTAGGTTGTAGAACATTGTCTTTGGGGACTATGTTATGCCAGTTGACTTTGGTGTTCTGTGAAACTATGGTCCTGAGTCTTCAGGCCCAGCAACTCATTCCTTCAAGGTGTTTGGTTATGCCTAAGATTTCATTACTTTGCACTCTATTTGCTCTACTGTATTGATGGATATATTTGCATATGTAAATACATATGTAGAAATATCCTCTGTCAAAACTACTATATATTCATGGGTGTGGTCCCATTCCACGTCCTCTCCTGTTCAACTTGAATATCTATCTGTGTGTCCACTCCTGGACCATTGCTGTTACTGTTGATGCAGAATTGCATATGTAACACTATTTATCTTTATTGCCTTTAACTCTTTTTTTTTTTTTT